CCCGTCCGGCCCCCATCACGTGACTTTTTCCAATGGTTTTATTAGAGCGCGCGAGCAGGGCCGTACGGGTCATATGATAATTTCCTGTACTGCCCTCCCACTCAGTCAATAGGTACATAGTATTTCGTATGACTGTGAAATGGCACAGCATGGACACTTTACAAAATTGACGTAATCCGTTGGACAAATCACAGTGTAAAAATGAATCCTTAGCCAATAAAAATGCTCAGAAACGGTATCGTCACGGTCACAGCAATGCATGTCTGCTCCATAGACCTACTCGATAAACAGATTGCATTGTGGTCTAGATTCGATTCAAACAACACCATATAATGTGTGGCAAATAAAAGATCTTTGTACACAGTCAGTTTGAAACAGCATTTGAAACAATATTGTTTTTGACTAAAATATATTTATGTTGAAATATCTTAAATATAAATTTTTAGTTCCAACTAACTCGCCCGTGATTGGCCGTTCTAACATCGCTCAGATCAGGATCTTGAAGAACGATAATGCAAGCGGCGTGTTCCAGCTGTCTGCTAGTAATGTAGATGTTACAGAACCTTACTCAGGTGCAATTGTGAATGTTACAAGGACAGCGGGACACTTCGGTGAAGTACGTACACCTCCTGTCAATTAGCCTGTCACGCAGACGTTCTCCATGACTGCAACATTTCCTTTCCTACGAACGTCTGCTTACTTGAGCAGAACTATCCTTTCCAAAAATTGACCAATCAGCATGAGCCTTTTAAAATCGAGGTTTATGGGAATTCCTTCCGAGTTGGCGCGAAATTTCTATCGAGCTTTTTTCACTCGTGTCAAGCAGACGTTCGTTGGAAAGGAAACGTCGCGTGACAAACACTAAGAACGTCTGCGTAGGAGTCTACCTGTCACTATGACTATCAACATGACTATCATGCAGTGAAGCAACATTTTCATCACTGAATAACTCTTGAGGGAATATCATGAATAGGATTTAGTTTTAGATTTTACATTTAGGGTTTTTCTGTGTTTGTATTTTAGGTGTCCGTTTACTTCGAAGTCATTCCAAACTCAGCTTCCACGTCAGACTATAATATCCCGTACAAGAACATTATCTTCAAAGATGGACAAAGAATTGCCTCAGTACCAATACAAATAGTGGATGACAGTACCCCGGAATACGATGAAACATTCACTATTAGGCTCCTGTCATCTGATGGGGATGCGTTGCTTGGAAGTCCTCTGGAATGTCTTGTAACCATCGCTGCCAACGACTACCCTCATGGTATAAAAGGTAAGGTGCAGTAGATTTCAGGATGATGTAAGGAGATTCTCAGGAGATTCTCAGGAGACTCGTATACCGCTTAAAATCAATGACACCAGAGTCAGAACCAGGATTCCGTTGAGGGTTGGGAGGGTGGGGTGCAGGCCAAAAACGGCAGAACCAAAAAAAAAAAAGGTTTCCAAATTAATTTCTATTAAAAAACTCATGAATAATTCATAAGCCTTTGGTCCGGTTGCTTACTATCAATCACGTGACTTTTTGGAGTTGACTGGGGGCAAACAAGCGGTTGACTGAGGGACAACTAGCGGATGTTAAGTCAAAACATGTCAAAATAAGTCCTCAAACTATTGTATTTGACTATTTCTCTGACATTATCAAAACAAGCTCAAAGATTCTACAAGCCATTAAAATGCAGCTATTACGGGAAGTGGCATCTATTAATAGCAACCTATTGGATCGACCCTACACGTCACGTGCATGTAGCTTAATAAACGATCGGAAATAGCTTTATCGGGTATAAAAATACTAGGCAAAACACTCCTACTCTTTTTTAAATACTGCTTAACGAAATAGTTCAGGCCGAGCAAAATAATTGTTAAATAATTTTTGGCTCCCATCGCCATAAAGCCCCACCCTCTTCATGTTCTTTCAAGTTAGAAATCTTGAAGCAACAACACCAACATTCATAATTATGTGAAAGAACTTCCATGTTAGTAATATTATCGAGTGCGGCCTGTTTATGCAAATTACCAACACTCAAAGTATTTAAGCTCTTCGCACTGCCGGCGCTTTCGGCTTTAAATGGCTTATTGCCTGCATTCTCGGTTTTTAGTTACTTTTGGTCAAGATCGTATGTTTCTTTCTGAGGAGCTAATATACTCACAACTCCTAGGGTTTGCTTTACAAATTTTTTCAACTGCGCGTCATAAAGTATTTTTTTATACAGCATAATGTATTCTAATACGTTTCTTTTTACCCGTGATATGCTGTGGATTTTCTATGAATTTTGGAAAATCCTCATAACATCATTAACCATGCTTGGAGTTTTTGTGGATTTTGTAGGATAATCCATTATCCAGAATACCAAATAATCCATAAATAAGCCATCCATGGATTTTAGTTTTCCACAAAGCATATGGTAAATTTGAAATCCAGATCTGAATTTCAAATTTTCCATAGATGGTTAAGTATCATTTATCCATATTTGGTTTTTTCAATATTCCACGCCAATTTTAATTAGCGAATTTATTCGGCGAAAAATTGTTAAAACAATTATTCGCCGAATGCGAAGTAAATATATTTTTCAAGTCGCGCGTCTTCGATCGGTGAGGTAAATATTGCTTACGCTCTGGCAAATTTTGGGAAACCTCGCCGCTCTAGCAGTGATTGATCGACTCAGAATCCCTGGTCGCTCGACCAATCAATGCGCGTGAAACTCTGTATTCAAGTCTAAAATTATTTATTAAGACTATTTACATACTGTAAACCATGACTTTCCTATTTCATTTTTCTTTCAATAGAGGTTAAATGTAGCTGGCTCAGTGTCACAACTGAACCTTCAACCGGCTCATGGCAAACAAAAAACAAAAAACAGTCTCTCTTGAAATAGAGCGTACATTTGGTACAGATGGGCCAGCTGAGATTACTGGGGAGCCGTGGCACTGAACGGAGCCCGACCATCCAATGACGTCACACCGGTCATAGGAAACCTTTTGTTTCCACCTGGGTCATCAGAAAGAGTGAAGACATTAGATTTTGACATATCAAGGGCACTAGGACACCGAATATGGTTGGATTTCTATATGTTTTTTCCCCTTTC